TGAGATAGGTCCTGACCATCTCCATCCCATTTCTTAATAGCCTGAAGAAGGTACCTAGTTGCAGCTGGATAAAGTTTTCTTCTCAGCATAACAGCTCCAAGTTCAAAAAGCTCCCTACCGCTACCATCACCACTTCGAACTTGCTCCTGAGATTCATTTCAATATCACACAGTTCACAAATGTTTATTTCTATCACCATACAAAAGAGTCGTATGCACATGTGATTCTCAGAGGACCTATCCCATTATTTTACGGTCAAGTGATTCTCCCTCACCATTATTCACTGTAAATTACTTCAGAGGACTATACAGGTAATTTAAAAAGTGAAACCAGGACCATGTTACATGCATGTTCAGGAATCAAATTTGATACTTTAACTACGCTATCAGATATCTTTAAACTATTTGATATTTACTTGCAATTCTTTAGCAGAAAGATCAAGTTCTCTACGGATAAGGACTTGACGGATAACAAAGAAACTTCCAGCTCCCAGTAGAGCTAGTAGCAAAAGCAAGTATGTAAGCTGGATCCCCACATCAAACACCTCTCCAATCTCATAAACCATATTCACATTGACACCTTCACTAGCATGTGCCACTTGTCCAGATATCAACCACATGATTGACCCATATGAGAAGGCAGGTATACCAATAATTGGTCTTTCCACATCAGTAATATCTTCAACCATTAGCTTGTTTGGTGAGGACTCTGCAAGAAAAAGACTGCAATTTTTCAGTGGTTTTAATAAAAACACATGCTCCAAAATTAACATACTTTAATACTTTGTAAACCTGAAGAGAAAGACTGCATCATAATTTATTATTCATACTTTGCTATTTTTCATAATAATATTATGCCACATGTTGGTTTCAGGTGATTACTGAATATGATGTATTGATATCATAATAAAGCAGACAATACAAATAGATAAAACTCAAACAGTGTTCATTTCATCAGTTATTGTAGAAGGCTATCGAATTTGACCATTCTGTAAAACAGCTAATTTAGTTAAGTTGTTAGGGAAAAAAATCTAACGAGATAGTAAAGCTAGTTGAAACTTCTAAAGCTCTTTGCCCTGAAATCTCGATAAATATCTTTCTTTATATCGAAAGTAAACACATTATCTTGGATTTTGTAGTGTATCCGTTTGACATGCCAACATACTATAGCAATTAAAGTTGACACAAATTTAATATTGTTGGTCTTCAAATCCAGTTCTATGTTTACAATTTATAATGTGTTCCAAAGACCTTTCCTCTCACTTCAACATATGGATCTTGCACAAATCAAAATTTCAAAATTAATTAGCGTTGCCTTGAATACCTAAATACCTAATATTGCTGAAAACCCTCAACTAGAAGGGGACCATGAGGGCATGATTAATAAGAAAGTAAAGGAGTGTGCAAGAGAATTTCACAAACTGCTCCATCAGAGAAATTGACGTGAATTGTCTTGTCATTTTCATAGTGAGCAGTTTACTCTTTGGCACACAAATCAGATTTACTTTTTCAGCACACAGATCAGATTTACTCTTTCAGCACACATATCAGATTATGTATCAATAAGTATATGGAAAAAGAATGTTAATTAATGGCATGAATGGTGCACCCCACTAAAACATTTTAGACTTCTATTGGCAAGTGCAGATAGAGAAAATATATTACTGCTGTTCACGCTAATTTAAAAATGTAGATAGACAAGATGAAGATTCAGAAATATAAATCACCCTGAAAGTCCACTGAAGCAAAACGGAATACTTCCAGTTTTCTTCCAAAAAACTGCATGGATCATTTATAAGAAAAGCTATTAGGTACGTGAAAGATGAAATCTCTGGATTTCAAGTAAATAACCTACAAACAACATACTTCACTAAGAAAATTTCGTTTTGCTTATTAACAAGAATTGAGTATAGGTGAAAAGGAGGAAAGTAGTGAGCAATAAAACTGGAATGTCTTTACTACTTCAAAGTTAACATAATCTCCAATATTGGTTAATGTCTGTTAGATATTTTAGTTTGCAAGTGCATGCTGGCTACTAGGATGCTTGCTAGATCATGATTCCCAAGGTCAGAAAGGCCAAAGGCTGTGGTCCAGTAGCAGAGGATGAGATTTGGTCTATGAGGTCTCAAATTCAATTCCACTGCCCCTAGGCGCATACAGAAAAAAATTTCAGACAGAGGTAGAAAACCCTTACCTTTCTCAGAGAAGTGTCTCAAAAATCCTAATTTGTCAATGAATAAGGAAAGAATGTGCAGGAAAAAATATTAATTCTCAAAAGCATGATCAGTGCATCAATCAATTAGAGTGTGATTTTATAGGAGAAGCTATTCCTGCCCATCAAGAAACCAATACATTAATGCTCAAAACCATGAGGTGATCTTGTTTCTTCTATTTTTGAAAGCTTTTGGCTTTTTGTGACATCAAAGTATAATGAACCGCTCATCATAAACCAGAGCGATTCTCTAACAGAAGCTTTTCCTGACCTTCAAAACAGGAGGGAGTAAGATCTTTACACTATTCAGCACACAGTCACGCTAAAGTGTCGAACCAGAACTGAAATGAAATCTATACGTGATAAAGTATCAAATAGGACTCGGAAACAGCAACTGAAACATCTATTCTGAAAGATAACCTGAAATCAAGTGAATAGTCTAACCTGAAATGAAGCACGGTTGGCGGTTTTCCGTGGAAAAAGGCAAGAAACCGACGGAGATGCTGATGACCGGAATCCATTATGACCGTGAAGAGTGAGACTATGAGCTTGCCCCTTTTGGTTAGGGGATAATCTTGGCACAAGAACTGCAGTACTGATTGAGCTGCTAATGTGTAGCGATGGAGGGAAAGGGTGAGAAATGGAAGATGGTTGTACCATTAGCAGCATTCTCCTCCCTCTTGCTCCCTGAATCTGTATATATCTTTCTATGCTTTTATGCCTGTTCTGGGTCCTTCTCCTTTCTTAAGTTCTCAACCCACCAAGTTGTCCAAAAAACTTGATACTTCAGAGGCGCTTGTTTTCCACACTTATCCAACACTGAAATTGTTTTCCCAAATACCCATCGTAATCAGAGTTGTAAACATGAAGTAAACTAGATACTGTATAGAAAGTTACAATTAATTAAGGATGTTTCCTTTTGGATTGTTTTCAGTCCCAGACCAGACCAGACCAGATTTAAATAGACTAGACCAGACTTAAACAGACCAGATCAGACCAGACCAGACTTAAACAGACCAGACCAGACTTCCGTAGTTATAAAATACACAGAGACCAGACGTTTACCAGACCAGTTCAGACCAGACCAGACCAGACCAGACTTAAACAGACCAGACCAGACCAGACCAGACCAGACTTAAACAGACCAGACCAGACCAGACCAGCAAATTTCAGTCCAAAAGAAAACATCCTAAATTGGTTTTTACAATTTGTGGATAGGGCAAGAGTTCTTATATCCATCCTCAAACAACAATTCCGCAATATTATAAGTTAGGGCATCATTTCTCCAACAACAAAAAAGTTAGGTGGTATCATTTAAAATCGAATATTGGTATACCAATATGGGATTGGTATATCAATATACTCCCTCCATCCCGGAAACAAGTTCTCACTTTCTTTATCTGGATATCCCAAAATAAATTTTTCATTTCCTTATTTGGTAAACTATCTATATCAAAACTGTGTCGAAGCAGTGTCAAACAGTGTCAAAACAGTAAAATTTACCCCTCAGTAACTTTATTTCCTTAAAACGTAGTATATCAAAGGAGGAATGATCCTCTCCAGCCGGTGGTTTTTTTTTTGCTGAAATTTTTTGTGCATGTTCTTCCTATTTTACTCATACCAATTTGAGATAAAAATTCAATCGAGAAGACAGTCAAATGATTTTTGGAAGTTAATTGCGCTCTTTATATACATATAAAATGCAGTTAGTTATCTTCCGAAAATCATTTGACTTTATCCCGATTAAATTTTTAATTGAAATTTGGTGTGAATAAACTAGATTTGATGAAGAACATACATAAAAAATCTACCAGAAACGGCCCAAACGGCGGCGACCAAACGACGGGTCCTTGACATAATTTTTTTCCTATATCAAAGTTATAGTGAGCAAGTCAACATATTCACGATGGAGTATGTTGATGTGACAATAGAGATTCTCTTGTTTTGCTCACTAATTTACTCATACATATAGAGTAATGTTTTTGTCAAACCGAACTCACCGAAATCGTCCTCCGGTTGATACCATTTGTGGTGGATTTTTTGATAGAATTGTGAACATGTTCTTCATGAAGAGTAAATTATCTCCACAACATTTTAGCTTAAAATGCAATAGGGAAGTCAGTTAAATACATTATCCAAACATATTGCGCAAAAATATGCATAAAAATGCAGAGTTTTTCAACAATTTATTTCACTGACTTCCCGATTGAATTTTAAGCTAAAATTTTGTGTGAATGTTCTACACTACATGAAGAACATGCTCACACAATTTCATCAAAAAGCTCGAGCTAAAAGACCCTCAAACAGGCTTGATCAAATGACATTTCCTGTCAGTCCGAACTGACCTGAATATTCCTCTATATATACATATGCATTTATATTTACATTTACATATATGTGTATGCTCAGGCGTGTGTATAATTAGGCATGACTTAGTAGTAAATAGTTCTTTTTAAAATTTGAAAATCTAAGTTGCCTTGGTTTGCTATCACTAGTACGGTGTTATGTTGATTCTTATTTTCTTATCAGAACTTTCATTTTCTGTTGACCAAATGTGCTAGATTGAAAATGTTTTTGTAATATATTATAAATGTATAGGTTAATAGTTTGGAGTTGTAATAAAATCGAGCACTCTGTTCCGCACGACGGAGTATTTGCAAAAAGATTTAGTTTGGTTTATACATAGAAATATTGAAATTGCATATCAGGATATGTTATATGGAAACTTTGTTCAGTTTATTGACAATAGTGTACGTGGACAGTGGATGCAGAACATTTTAATTTGTAAGGAATAATTCAACTCGCATATTAGGAGAGCCAAAATGGATGAAATCATAGTCAACTCACAATTATTAATCCTGCTTTATTTTGATGCATTGTCTCATAATTCATAAAAAGCTTTTCAAGAAAAACTCATGAGGATAGAATCGGTGTAAATGGAGTACATAATATTTCCAATTACATTGCCACCTTTTGTCCGAGTGTTGAAGCCTGGAGGCTGGTATATTTAAAGATGGCGACATGGAGGGAAATGTGACTGGTAGTCTGGTAGAGGTCAGCTCAATCTCGATATGCTCTATAAGCCTCCGGAAACCGCTGAGGGCGTGTCCTAATGCATGGTATGACCCGTTATGCAATAGAATCACCTATTATGTCGGTTACACTAGAGATCCTTCTTCAGCCCTGTTGGACGTTTGGCTGAAATAGACACGTCGGCCGGCCAAGTTGGACTACTCAGCTCTTGCCTCTTGATGTGCCAGACCAGGCCTATTGGCCTGTGGCTGGCTGGCTAGCTGCGTCTGTTGCTACACTTGGGCTGTTGCCTAACCCAGAGTCACGAGCCATGCTTCCCAAGCTTCGAGATAACATACACACACACTCTTAGCTTTGACAAGGAGTTGCCCCCTGAACAGTAGGTTTTCTACTACAAAACTTACACACAACTACTGTAATCTTAGGAGTTCAAAATTCAAGTTAGTGATCAACTGTGGTCTCCTGAGATTACGTGACCACACTCTCCCTCTTACAACATAGCACTTGAACTCAAATATCAGTAAATGGATGAAATAAATATGAAAATGACAGACATCATTTTAGTCCACTTTCGCCACAAACCGTTGATTCTTCTTCTGCAATTCTACAAAGACAATTTTACAAGGAATTAGTGAAACCATGGAAATCATAGCTAGTAGTAAAAAATTATAATTACTAGATCTGATCAGATATTGTTATTATTCAAATCGGCATATATGGTAATATTGATTATACTAGTTATTCCATTACATTTGTTAATCAACACTAATTCATTGAGTGAAGGAACCATTGATTATTTTATTTTATTTTTGTAAATTCTGAATACTTCATACTCCGTAGTTATTATAGTAGACATTTGTTAAAAGACAGTATCCCTTGACTGTCTTTACCAAGAAAAATAAAATAAATGCAGAAAAAGAGAGAACAGGTCAGACTTCTTACCTTGATAAATTCCATTAATTTTGAGAGCTTAAAGCCTCATGGGGGGCAGTTACGCCACACAAAATTTCCCATTTGCTTTATTTAGGTCATGAATCAAGTTTGATATAGTTACTGAATCATTACTAGTGTCTCTATCAGATAGCCAGTTGTCATCAAATTGAACATCAACATCACTGCAATATGTTATGTAACTGCAATTAGAATGGCAAGAATTTAGAAGCAAAAAGAAAAGTTAAACCATGAAAAAAAATCGCACGTCTTGAGAGAGAGAATTTGATAATTTCTACGTAGATAATCGGCATGTTTCGTAAGAGTGTCTTGGACATAGGGTCTACCAACAGTCCTCACTGTGGCGGCAGCAAGTAGATTTTCAAGATTCCCATGCTTTCTCAAGAGCTTTAGTGCAGTTTTTCGACCAAATTTAGGAACCACGTCCTTAATTCCAGGAACCCCATCAGCTTCATCACCCAACATGGATCCTGAAGGCAACAACTCAAATTGGTAAATGAATTAGACAATAGAATATACCTACTAAATTTGAGCCATTTGTACAACAAAATAGTAGTATACCTAAAGATAAAATGTGGGTTATTAGTGCCTATCATTGATTCAAGCAAGAAATCAAATCTGGCTATCTTTTGTTCATGAAAGACTCCAAACCGTCCATCCCTCAAAACTTTGTCTTGTTTGACTCGCAAGGAGATTATGAAAATGAATATTTTGTGGTCGAGATTTTTATTTCCTTTTAAGGCTGTATTTGGGTCCCTTAAAATGCTACGGAGAAGAAGCAAAATGCTACGCAATGTTATTTTCTTATGATTGAATTTATCTGTATTTAGATAGCTTAGCATTTATATGAAAGAAACAAATAGATAAAAATTCAATTGAACTTAGTATTTAAAATTTAAACTTATTGTGTATGAGAACACATTTATTTTCCTCAATATTTTCTTTCCTTCAGAGTTTCTTTCATAAAGTCTTGCCTTTACATTGTCCGAGTTGCAGGCAGAAAGTGCTTCTAGGACTGAAGGGATAAAATTGGCAAAGTTTTAGTTGGGCCATAGAGAGTGTTACATAAGGTCATACACGGGAACTCGATGTAATAACTAGAACAAAAACTGTAAGTGTAAAGTAACAAAGACTTACTCAAACTCAAGTCAGACTGTGGATCACAATTGTACTGAGCTTTGTAATGCTTTAAAGTATAATACGACCATCTATCTAACTCAGGCATTGGAATCAAGATTTGAACATCTTCTGATATCAGTTGCTTGAAATCTTTGTCTGGTGAAGCAATTACAGCTTGAAACCCTTTCTGCAGGACTTGCGCCACGAGTGTAGCTACAACATCATCCGCTTCATGCGACTCAATCTTAACAACCTGAATTGTAACCCTTATTACACTGATTTCTATTTAAAAATGCGGAATGAGCAACAGTAGAACAATCCTCTTCATATTGGAATCATGACCAAACAGTAGAAAGTCGTTGTAAAAAGCAAGATAGATGCCAAATAGAAATTTTTAACAAAACATATTACTTGTTTTTGCATTTAAAATCTAAATGAAGTCATGTTAACAGATATAATACAGGACCGAGTTGGGGTCACGCAACTTTGTCAGAAGGCACTTGGTCAAACCGCACTAACAATTGAAGCAGATCTATAAGCTAATTCAATTCAAAGTCTAACCCATTATTCTTTCATTAATTTTCCGTTGGGGACTCTAACCCCTCCCCAGTGGACAACCGGAGCATTTTGAAGCTAACAGGTTGGCCACTTGCATATTGGACTCCCTCTTCCCTCAAACTAAAACTTGAAATAAAGCAGCAACACTTAAAAGTTTGGGTGGAACAAAGGTATTGAATGCAGCTAAAGTTTCATAACACTAAAACTTGAAATAAAGCAGTGACACTTAAAAGTTTCATGACACTCAATTTAAATCTAATACAGTAGCTAGTTCAACCAAGGTAATATTAACTCATTATACTACCATTAATTCTAGGATGTAGGACTCTAACATAAACTGTAAATGTGGCCACCACAGTTGATGACTCATTCGTGATTTTTTTTGTTTGAATTAAAATTGCAAGGAAGCAATACGTGTAAAATGAAATCAACTACGCAGATCACACCCCTTATTTGCATCATGTTGCAACTCAAAGTCAACTTATCTACATACAGGTGCTCCATTCATACATTCTGTATTGCATGATGTGCAGTGGAGACTGGTTTGTGTAAACATTTGAGCTCAAAAAAGTGAAAAAGAGCAAAAAACACTAACTTTATTAGAATAGGGGCTTCACTCACAGGCACATTACAATTCTTAAGAACATCCAAGATGACTTTATGTGACCTTTCAACTGAAGTTCTTATAAAGCCTCCAGAGACTGAACCTCCAGGCCTCTTCCTATTCGCTTTATAGGTAGGCAATAGGTTCCTCCTGTACTCATTGCCTCTTTCCCCATCAATAACCTGCAACCATTAAAGACAAACTCGCTAGGGTTCTTATCATAGTATTCATCAACCTTTAATTGAAAAGAAGTGTCTCTTCTCTTCATGTTTACAATAACATAAATTATACTAGTAATACATTTGTAAACTTTGATCATCTTGTCTCCACCCGATAATAACAAGACCCCCACTTTAACAAGTAATGAACAGTACAATCAATCCTCTACTAATCAATTTGACCAAATGCAAAATCTCCCCTTCAAAGGGACCAAATCAAGTAATGAACAGTACATTCTCTAGCTTTTCTTCACATCTTGAACAACTTTTGAAAAATTTGGAAAAGTCAGGAAAGTAAGAAACACTCATGCGCGCAAACAAAGCTGCAAGGCAATGATTTCTTACAGCAACAACAGGTTCACCATTGCTGACGTCAGCTAAGAATAGGGAGATCCAGTGAGCAAAATACTGGAAAGACCAGGTACCTTCATTGTAACACAGAGGATTGACATCCAAGAAAAACACCCTCTTTCTTGAACTATGATAATGAAGCCCTCTTCTTGCACTACTTTTTTCTGTCTGGTTATTATTATCATAGGAGTATGAAGATTTGAGTTTGGGGAAGTTTGGCTTGAGTCTGGGCTCGGCCGTTGGGGTGAAAATCAATGGGTGTTGAGAATAAGGAAGTGGATAATTGTAACGGCAGTAGCAGGCCTGAGAATGGAGAATGATAGGAAAGTCGAATACTTTTGCCATTGTTGAAGTTGGTGGAATGAATGTTGAAAATTGAAGACAGGCTCAGCCAAAACAGTGAAAAATACCCTCTCCTTAGTAATCTAATAGACAACCCATTAACTGGTCACGGGAGTTTTTTCAACTCTCCTAAGTCGGTCATGGTAGCAAACGGACGGGATTCGAGAAATCTCTGCTACTCACCTCAATCGCCCTAAACTCTGCTACCCATCAGTGGGCGGAGGACCGGTGGACAAGGCAAAAATCACGCCGGAGTTTCTGATGCTGAAACTGGAGATGATGTACACGCTGCGTCTGGATTGTTCTTTCTTGGCCACGTGCGACGGAGTTTGAACTCTGGCGGCCGCAATGGGTTGTTCCCAGCGATAGCAGCTCTGCTACTCTCTTCTGTTAATGCTCACTGTTTCTCCAGCAGTGGGATGGCAGCTCTGCTCGGCGTTGGGATTGTTGGCCTGGTAACTAAGGATGTTTTTACTCCGGTGTGAACAGGTTTAGTGAATGTCTATTTCATAACTAATGATTCTGATCTGGTCTATTTAAGCCTGGTCTGATCTGGTCTGTGACGGAAAACAATTTAAGTAAAAACATCCTAACTTAACTAATGAATAAAATCAGTATCATAATTATAAATAAATATATTTCAGTTAATAATATTATTTAAAATTCTAGCCAAAAAATAGTATATAGTGATCGGAATTATATGCGTCAAGTCCACTTTATCTTATTTTTGTCTATGTTATCATCGTAAGGTGGACTTACGCATGAAATTTTAATTATTATATAGGATTTTTGCCGCAAATTTTAATAATATTGAGAGCTGAAACATTTATGTATAGTTAATTGTTTCAATTGTCAATCATATTCAAATTTTTAGTCAAAAAATCATACGTAGTAGTCGGAATTCTATGTGTTTATCTTACTTTTGCATAAATGAAATAATTAAGGTATCATTTATGCATTTTTACCTAATGGAGAGTGAAGATAAGATGGGAGAAGATGTAAGGAATGAATAGGTTTTTCTCTGAAGTAAAAGTTGAATCAGAATCATTTTATAGAAATAGGTCTCTCAATTTCAAACAACTGCCTCTAAGAGCAATTTAGAACATCCAAAAGTATTTCTGCACTTTCACTCAAATACTTAGTAGTTCTTTCTGCTCACCGAAGTACCAGAAAGAGTTTTTAGGGGGTGTTTGGAACTGATTCTACTTCTGCTTCTTTTTTAAAAGCAAAAGTAAAATCAAAATCAATTTTTCATAAGTTTGTCCACCCAACTTCTAAAAACTGCTTCTATGAGTAATTTGGAGCACCTGGAAGTACTTATACACTTTCACTCAAACACTTCAATATCTTTTTATGTTCTCTGAAGGTGTAGTAGCATATTTAGGAATCAGATCCAAACACCCCATGGAAGAAGATCTAAACACCCCATGATGGAAAAAACGTGGGAAAGTGAGTGAAGATAAGTTGGCATGTAAATGTGACTTAAATATGGGGCGGAAAGAGTACTTGGTACTAGTGGTAATAATTACGGCTGAGCAAAACTCGAACCGACCCGCAAAACTCGAAGTTTTTTTCGGATAATATGCGAACCGAAATGGATATCCGACCCGAAAAACCCGAAACCAAAAATCCGATTAGTATTTGGCCTAGATCGGGTGGCGGGTCGGGTTTGTAAAATCCCAACCCGACCCACCCGAATATCCGAAATATATTAAATAATTTAGTGTGTACTTTGAATATGTTAAATTAATACTTGTGCTCAATTATTTGTGTAATTATTTGTGCAATTTGTGTTAAATTATTTTTGTAATTTGAATGTGTAGTGCACTAGTGTGTACAGTTTTTGTCAAAGTGACATTCCAACACTTTAATTATCCAATTATAATGTGTTTTAATATAAGCAAAATATTCGAAATATATTAAATTATGTAGTGTGTACTTTGAATATGTTAAATTAATACTTGTGTTCAATTATTTGTATAATTATTCATGCAATTTGTATTAAATTATTTGCGCAATTTGAATATTTGCACTAGTTTGTAGAATTTTTGTCAAAGTGACATTCAAACACTTTAATTATCCAATTACAATTTTTTTTAATATAACCGAAATGTCCGAAACCCGATCCGATATCCGATAATATTCGACTTACAAATATCCGAAAAACCCAATTTAAAATATCAAAGGGTCGGGCCAAGTATTTAGCTTAAAAATCCCGAACGGGTTTAGGGTACGCAGACCCGACCCGCCCGAACCCGACCCGTGCTCAGCCTTAGTAATAATTTCCATCTCTATCTTATGACTTTGCTTTATATTCATTTTTTAATTGTTTCAAAAACTTTGTTATTTTACATTTAATCAATTAATTTGTAAATCCAATTATTTTGTTATCCTCTGCACAAATTTCAATTAAACAGTTTTTATTTTATTGTTCATTGTATCGGTCGGACTTGTCTAAATCTTAAGAGACAAAGAGAGTATAAATGTTGGGGTCTTGTAAGTTACTCTTTCCGTCCCTAAAAACTTCGCCAAATTTGGTCTGCAACAGAAATCACAAATTAATTGCTTAAAAAGTAAAGTGGTAAAGTTTTGGGACAACAAAAAATAGATAGATGTCAAAATTAGGGATATAATTTAGGGATGCAGTACCTTTCCTCGGTTCCTGAGGGTCAAGCCACCAAGGTAGGATACCCGATACCCAGTCAATATTGAACTTCTGGTTAAAAATCAGTTGTCCAATATTTTGGGGTCTCACTCTTTTCCACTAATCTCAAGATATGTTTAAGACCCGAAACCAGGTCCAGAAATGCGGTCCGTGATGTCTGGGGGTATACCATTTATAAATATAAATGTACTTTTTTGTCTCCTTAAAATAGTTTACCGTTATAAACAACTACTACGTATATATATTATTGTTCCAAACATATAAAATGTGGTTACTAATATATTTTTATATAAACAATTTGTAATGTACAAGTAATATGAAAAATTCTTAAAACGATTGACATTGAATTTAATATATTCATCAAAATTGAATAACAATGGCAAACATATTAAACTAGTCGAACCTTTCATGTTGTGTTTTGATCGGGTGTAGGAAGTATGATGATAAAAGTGTTTGAAAATGTTAATTTGTATTAATACTTATTTAGTTATTTGTGAGAACAGTAAAAAAAATAAAAATAAAAACCTTATACAATTATGGGTAATAAATTTAAGTCCAAATTTTTTATTTTGAAATTTGGGCTAACTAATGTCCATATCAGGACATTAGTTGTTTGTTTTATTTAGGTTCATGATGGCCCATCAGTTTTTGTAATATTGATTATGAGCCAAAGTCCTATTTTGAGCCGTGTATCAACCTATTCTTAGCAAGTCATTTTGATTATCTAAGTTATATAAATGTCTTAAAAATATGACATAATCTATTGAATGATATACATTGTTAATTACTCTTCTTTTATTATACAAAATATCTCGATTGAGACAACGTTAGTTTGATGTGTTTCATCGTTACTGGTTTGAATCGTCACTTCCTTCTTGACAATTGTCACTAATTTATTTGAACTAAAAGGCCATATTTAACTTGTGCATCAATGCATCATCATTCTTCCATCATTTACAATGGAGCCAAAGATTCATTATTTTTTGACTTGAGAATATGATGGAATAAAGCAAAATGACTCACTAAATTGTCTGCGCTTCTTTGTTATGAAGCAGCAGTCAGTCCATGCAATTTTGGACGCAATTTTCACTATGGGTCAGTCTATCTGTGCTTTAGTGCAGGGGTAAGACTACGTACATCCGACCCCCTACCCCACCATGGGTGTGAGCCTTTGCGGCACTGGGGTAAATGAAAATGATGAAAAATGATGATGATCAATGCATCATCATGCGAATATTAATCTTTTTTGTAAAAGGAATCAAAACATATTTTTTCTCCTGTTTTACGGGAGTGATAAAAGTCATATCAACTATATGCACATAAGTCTTCAGTGTTCATGATATGTTAAATCATCACTTTTATACTACGTAAATTATAACTACTCGTTTAAAAAAAAGAAAAAATTACACAAATATAATCACTTTAAACCCCATTAACAAAAATATGACTTCATGCCCTACCTTACTCCCGTGTTGTACAATGTGCTCCTTAGCATTAGTCAGTTTTTTGTAACTCCAAATAATATTGGTAATATTAATGTAAAAAAATCTTTAAAAAAAGGTTCAATGTTGTAAAACAATTAATTCTTATATTTGAAACTATGATATTACATGTATAAAAATAAAACAACCAACCAAACCCAATGCCGTGTTAGGGAGCTGGACGATAATAGCTCCTCTGCATCCCAAAGTGTACCACCCTGTTCTATAGTCATAAGCGCTAGGTACGGCTACTCATTCTATCTACTTAAGTAGAGAGAATCAAGTTCTCACTTCTCACTAGACTGACCCGTAACGGAATTAGTTATTATCCAAGGTATACTCCCTCTGTCCCTAAAAGGTTTGACACCTCCGTTCCTTGAAAAGGTTGATTAAAGTTGACTTTCATGTGGATTAATAAAGTAAAAACTGTGTGGTTGAAATTTGTGCAGATAAGACATAATTAACTTTAGCCACATATTCTTTACTTTAAATAAAAATGACAAATCTTTTTGGACATCAAAAAAAGGAAATTTAGCCAACCTTTTCGGGACGGGAGAGTACTATTTACACACAACCTCACAATTCCCTAACTACTGAATATATTGTTTAAATACTATACATTTATAAAGAGACCTTCAAGATACTACAAAAGAGTTCATAACTCTATTAACTAATATGCAAAAAACATCCAAACACAAATAATATTTTATGATGGTTCTAGCCTTCTAGGGCACATTTACAACATGGTGTGATGTGAAAGCTTGGATGGACCAGGCCACATGTTGAAAGGGCATTGTTGCCTAACTTTATACCCATTCATGTTTGTGAAGTTGTTTTTGTTTGTGAATCCGGTTCACGCACAAAATATGTGTTATTTTGTCTGTGAATGGAACTCACAGACAAAAAAAGCATTCACAAACACGAGTAAGTATAAAAGTGAGTATAAGAATGAGTACAAACATCATTTTTGTTCTCAATTATGAAAAAGATTTTCATTCGTTGGACTGAGGACGGAGTAAGTGGGCTTTGGGCTCGTATAACAGTGTGAAGCATAAAAATGAAAAATGATTTGGCCATAACTTGAGATGAACTCGGAAAAATGTGGGTGTGTATGTTTTGCTAAGGACTTGAACTATCATCTTGTGGAAGCATGATTTATTTATGTATTTCAGTTTGTGAGAATTTCTTGTTCAAAGAAACATAAGCTCTTGAAATAATGTAGTTAACACCAAATGGAGATTGATTTGGATGCACTTCAAAAGTGATGCACGCATTCATGTTGACGGAGGAGGCTACTATCTTAGGACTATACTTGATTATTTGATACACTCATACACTTATCAAATTTTGTTTG